AACCATTAAATAAAAAACTAAACAAAACACATTACATTTAATATATAATAATTATCTAAAAACACAATCTACAAAAATAATTCTCTTCACTAACATATTTATAAGACAAACAACTTTTTGGGAAACAAAATTAGAAACAATAAAGGTAATAAAACAGACAATAAGTCAAAAAAAAGACGAACTCGATTTTGTGACGTAAAAAAAGGACGTAAAGGATTTTAATACAAAAAAATGGATTTTGTTGAGTATTCAAAAGTTGTAAACCTATAAGAACTACAGTAGAATCCGCTTATAATGACGTTGAAGGGAAATGACAAACACGTCATACTAAGCGGGCGTCATACAAAGCATAGTCTTAGAAAATAAACAACTTTCCATTTTGGTTAGTTATTTAGTTTAATAGAGAGAAAAACTACAAATTGTATATATTTCTTAGCAGAAAAAGAAAAAGAACGATGAATTGTAATATCAATATACATAAGAAGGGTCAAAAAATGTAAGCGAAAATGTTATTATTAATCACTTGGGTCACTATAGCTGGATATGATTTCTTGAGAATCAGTCATAATAAACAATATGTCATTTTAAATGGAGTCATTATATCCAAACTTTCCTATAGAGAATTTAATATGAAAACCAAACTTAACCCTGCAATTACTTTGGGTTACAGTTGGTCAATATAGGCGGAGTCATAATAAACGAATTCTACTGCATATTGTCTTTTTTCAATTCTCGTAAAATAAATCCGTCATCAAATCAAACAATTTTAAAGGATATTACAAAAGGGTTATTTTTATTCATTAAAAAACCAGATGACTGTGAATGTTTATAATTGTTATTTACGCTTATCCAAAAAGGTGTTCACAAGGTGGGACAATAAAATTTATTAAAAACAATGCTTTGTACCTCGTATTTTTACATCAACAAATTAAATACGAATGATCATCAGATGAGAACGTGACGATGGGGCTCATATTTTCTATTCTTTCTCTTTAATCACATACAGTTTGGGTAAAACAAGCATCAATGTTTGTAAACCTGTTGAGTCAGGTTAATGTAATGAATTGTGGGTTATTCACGTACTGTTTGAATAGGAGTTAGAATCTGTCACTAACAGATATTCATTCGTTTGCAATCTTTTATTATCTTGTAACCAGTCATTTGAAAAAAGAATTGTAATTAATTGCATGTCTACAGACAGACATAGGAATGCACAAGAAATAGATAATGGTATTCTAAATTCTTTTCTGTTGTTTTTGAAATGCATTTTTATACACATATGTATAAACAAATAAAAAGAAATGGTATCGCGACAAAACCTTCTGGGATAAAAACGCCTACATTAAAATTTCTAATACCTTGCAGACCGCGTCAAAAGCGCCTGTACCATTCGAAAGAGAATAAAATTCTGCATATTGCATTCATAACACATACAGGGTGTTGCACTTCAAAAAATAAACTTACAATTGTTTGAAGTTAACCAAATCAGCCATTAAATATCTAACACCCTGTATGTGATTAATCCACTTTAAAAACATGGTCGAGAAGCTTGAGGGTATATCTATATCTCGTGATACCGAGCGGTATGGCTTAGAGGTTTAAACCATTGCTTAGCATTCGGGAGAACGCCGGTTCGATTTTAGGTCCGTCTGCCTTGGTCCAAGCTTTTCTGTGGTTTCTTTGGTTACTTGGGCAAATTCTGAAGCAGATAATCTTTCATTCTCTTCTGTCTTCATTTTGTCTGTCTCATTTTTCTCACCCTAACCACCACCCACCTATTCCCATGATTCCTGAAAGAAGGCTAGAGAGGGCCTTCCGCCCTACCTTCCGCCATAGCCCGGAGGGACTGCCCGCTCACCAGCTTTAGTGACTGATGGGAATGAAACACCTAAAGGTCTTTTTCTTCTGAGAATATTCTTGCTCCAGCTTTCTTACTGTAAATTAGGCATGCCTTTTCGCTACCTACTGTTCTGTGCTACTTTTTAAAAATAAGTTAATATCTG